GCCCCCCGCTCCCCGGCCCCGCCCCCGGCCCCGGGCAGGGAACAGCGAGCTCAGAGACCTGGGAACGCGCAGGGGGAGAAGCTGGAGCCCCAGGGAGGGGGGCAGCCTGGGACCCTCCGCGGAGGGGTGGCGGCTGAGTGCGCGGTATTCCAGGGCTTACGCGCCCTTGAGCTTCCCCTTGCAGTGGAGGTGGGGGTTAGGGTTAGGGGAGGAGATGGCAGTCGAGTCTGGGGCAGCACAGGATGCTTGCAACTGCAGCCAGGTGTGGGGGGCACGTTATGTGAGCAGGTTAGATTTGGGAAGGCTTGAGGGATGGCAGGGGAACGCCCGTGAGTCCCTGCTCCTTCCTGCATTCGGTCAATCAATGCTGGACGCCTGGCGGGGGCGCAGAACCTACTGGACAGGCTCTCTGCTTCCCGCGGCTTTAGAGCATCTATCACAAAGGTTGGAATAATAGACTGTGAAGGACAAAAATGGTCAATCGGAGGCGGGGAAAACAAGGTTCAGAACATACATTAGAAATGTGCGACTGGTCCCCAAAGCATGACTTTTATGAAGAGAGCCCATTGCTGAAGATGGGGTGCGGCACCAAACCCCAAGGTGGGTCTTGCAGTCTTAGTGACATCGCAGAGCGCCCAGCATTCAGAACGGAACTGAACTGCTATTCCAGAGAGAGCCGTGCCAGGTGGGGACTAGACTCATCGGGGACCACTTCATAAATTGCATGTCCAACCACTGTGCTGTACCCCTGAAACCAGCACAAAATCGTATTGAATCTCAGCCAATATTGAATATCAGGGTAACTGAAAAATAAAAACACAAATTTTTAGAAAAGAGTGAGGACAAAACAGTTGTACAAAGCTTAAGGTTATCATCCCCACAGCCTTAACTGAAGAGTTACTAAAGAATGTGCTTCAGGATGAAGGAAACTGAACTCAGATGAACGAAGAGGGTTTCAAGAAACAAGGGTGAGCAAAGGAACTGAAAAACAACAACTGGAGGAATACCGGGAATAGCTATATTACACTCCCTACTGCCAGAGACCTAAGTGGGGCATCCCCATGGCCCCCACAATGTAAATGGACCTGACTTATAAACACAGGCCCTAACCGGTTTGGCTCAGTGGATGGAGCATTGGCCTGTGGACTCAAGGGTCCCAGGTTCGATTCCAGTCAAGGGCATGTATCTTGGTTGCTGGCACATCCCCAGTAGGGGGTGTGCAGGAGGCGGCTGATCGATGTTTCTAACTCTCTATCCCTCTCCCTTCCTCTCTGTAAAAAATCAATAAAATATATACTTAAAAATAAAAAGATAAACACAGAATTTGTCAAGTTTGTTTTGAATCTAGCTATATGTTTTTAAAGGAGTCATTTAATACCTAATGAAATAGAAAAGTTGACTGTAAAAGAATGAAAAGACATGCCAGAGATGCTGGGCAAAGCAAGAGAAGGCTGGGTCTTCAACACAGAAAACAAAACAGGTTAGGGTTAAAGTGGGTGGTTTCTTAATGGGACAGGTTCATTTTCCACAAAACTACAAAATGTTAAACTGGCATGCTGTTAAAGCAAAAGGAGCTCCCAAACAGAACCCAATGGACAGCTGGCGCTTCCCCACTAATGGTGCCCCTGGGTGACCTTCCTCCAGCCCTTTCTCACAGTTTCTATGCCCATGTTTCCCACGGGGCAGAGACAAGCCATCCCACTCAGCCTTCTCTGAATTTCTGGTTCTCGTTTATGTCATTGAGATTGGGGTGGTTTGTTGCACAAGAGTAGACAATTGGACGCTCCATCACTCACAAAGGACTTGGCATCCTTGCACGACCTTCTTCCCCATCTGGACCCTTCCTTCCCCTGGTGCCTGCAGTGTCTACTCATGTGACCACTACAACACTCTGGCCTCCCAATTCCTTCAGCTCCTCACCCGCAGTGATGAGCTTATCTAAGTCACCTCGGCTGCCCTCTCAGTTTACAGAAAGGCAGTTCTCAGAACCCTAATGACCACCTGGATGTGGGGGGAGTTGAGTTAAGGCACAAACGAAGGCCCCCTCTTACTGTCCCTCCAAAGATCCTAGACTCCCACCTGGGTTGTCAATAGACAGGTCACTGAGCAGAGCTGCAGGTCACAGTCACCATGCCAACCTTTATGGCCATCATAACAGGGCATTCTGCCTCCACAGGGCGGGGGAAGGGCTCAGCAGGTGGTGGGGGCATTTGCCCTAAGTTAGATTCTGGCCTCTTCTGCCCACAAGGCAGGTACGAGGTGGAGGCTCACCGGGTGCATTGGTGAAACAGCTGAGTGGCCAAGGCCCCTGGGCAAGGCAGAGGCAGCAAAGGTGGTGACCTAAAGTAACCTGAAGTGGCCTGGCATCCAGTGGAGTCACAGGGATGGCCAAGAAAATGGAGAGCGATGACTGCAGGGTGCTGGGCCCCATGCTTTTCTTGCTGCTGGTGATGCCTCCTCCCCTGAATGCAGGGAGCTCCTGGCCCAGAGTCCTGAGCTGGAGACATTTAAATCGCCACCTTGGCCAAGAATGGGAAGGCTTCAACCAGAGAGCCAGATATCACAGGAGCGAGAAAGACAAGTTCAGATACTGCAAGGGCAAGTTTGACCTCTACTTTGTAGTGGACAGGTGAGTGGCCTTCCTGTCATGGCCATGGATGTCCCTTAGTGCATCATTTTAGCCAGGGTTCAGTGGGCAGGAAGTAGCACAAGGGGACTCCAGCGCCTTAGAGTGGAAAGAGGACCAGTGTTGGTGAGACCAAAGGAACGAGGTCCCTCAGGCCTCTTTGTTGCTGAGGCAGAAGAAACATCCCAGGCCTCTGTTTCCAGGGACAGTTTCTTTAGGAAAGGCTAAAAGGATGCCTCTCTAGATGAGTTTCTGGATGGCTCAGTCCTCTATCACTATGGCCAGCAGCTGAGACCCACGTGCCCCTGACGGAGCTGGAGGAACAAGGATTGCTAGGAGCCTCCTCCCAGCAGTTGTCAGAAGCTCACCCTGTGGGTTATGGGTTTGCTTTGTTTCATTGTGTTTTCACCCAATGACTTCCATGATTACTGGGCCCCAGAGAGACTGCTGTGTGCTTCTGCGGGGCATTCGCTCAGTGTCACTGCTTAGAAGGGTCTCTGCTTTGCTGCTGATAAGCGTTTTGTGTGTCTCTCCTTCCTCCTGGACCCCCATACTGCAGTTTGCGTGCACGCTCAGAACAGTGTGGGTGTCTGGTGTGTCCCTCGGAGGCTGGGCTGTGGATCAGGCACCGTCTGGCCCTCAAAGAAGGAAGGAGAGGAGCAGGGCTGTGGTCCTGGAGAGATTGCCTCGGTTCCATCCCCAACTCCTCTGTGGGGCTGAGAATGCTCCTTATTGCTCAATGGCATGGTGGCAGGGCAGCCACTAGCATCCTGAGGCACTAGCCAGTGCCCAAGGCCTGTCCCGGCGCTTCTGTCACCCTCTAAACCAGTGATGGCATGCAGAGCAGCGAAGGTGTTTCCAGGTGCAATTGCCTGCAAAAGGGCCACTCCTAGAGGTTGGATGCAGGAGCCCAGAGGCTGGTGGTGGTCACAAGACTCAGGCTTCCTGCGCTGCCATCATTCCAGCATCCAGGTGGTACCTCTTCTGATTCCTCTGATTCTCCCTGGAGACTGATGATTGGGGTGGGGGAGGGATCATGTCCAGCCTACCAGTTGCTGAGAAAAGTCAGCAGAGCTGGGAGCCACCCTGCCCACAGGGTACCTCCTCACTGTCCATGGAGGGCACCCTGAGATGCACTGGGCAGGGCTGACTGGCTGATCCTGACCACAGCCCAGGGGGTGGTGCTTCCTCTCCTAGATACTGGGCTCTGACATGGATCCGTAATGGGGGCAACTGGCAGCCTCTTGGGTAAGTCTGTGCAGAGTGTACTAGTGACCTCAAAGGGTCTCAGCTGCCATCCTCTTACGGTGCCCTGGCCACACCCCTGGTCTCTGCTCACAGGACCAATGTGGGCACAGCCCAGCCTGGATGGATGAGGGAGGCCGCGAGGTGGAAGTGGGCCTGGGAACAGTCATGAATGAACACGCAGCATGTGTCAAGCAATGTGCTGCCCACTGTGCCCTCCCAGGAGCTGAGGGGGTGGTTCTATGTCCCTGTTTTAGGGTGCTGATACCAAGACTTGGGGGGCTAGTGATTTGCTCAATGTCAGTCAAAGCTCACTTCCTGCAAACCTTTAGATGGTGGCAGAGTGCTCCCCTGTTCTCTCTCCCAGGGAGGGTGGTACTTGGGGAAACTAAAAAGGCACCATTGAATGGGTTGCTGAACCAGGGGCCAGGGTATTCTTACTTCTTGCCCCTCTCATCACCCCACCCCACCTCTTGCTCCTTTGGCTTCTTAAAGGGCTGGGAGGCAGCACTGGGCCCTCTGACCATGGCCAGCTGCGGGTGGAGCTCCACTTGAAGAGCATGGGCCTTGCCCTGAAGACTGGGAGAGCAGGGGAGCAAGGGAAGCAACTCAGGCCCCCGGACCCTTTTTCTGGCTCCAGGATAGAGGTTCCTCCACATCACCTCAGGCACTGTCAGCCTTGACTCTTGCCATCCATGGGGCAGGACAGAATCCTGCTGGATTCTGCAAATGGAAGGAAGAGCTGAGGGTGTCCCAGAGAGAGCGCTCACACCCCCTGTCCCAGCCCCAGGCCATCAGTGAGTCCAGTCAAGAGTCTGACACCACAGCACGCTTCTAGCCCCAGGGAACAGCCCCTTCTCCCTGGAGCTCTGCTCACGCAGGGGCTAGAAGAAGGCCTTGCTGCCCTCCAGGGACAGCTTGATGACAAGTTCTTGGAGGGTGACACTGGCTCCCTCCTGTGGCTGTGCCTGTGGCTCTGGGGAAAGGGGAGCAATGATTACTGAGGAGGGGGCCCCAGCTCTGCACAAGGCAGACACCACTCACCAGTCACGTGGCCCTGGGAAAGTCACCTCACCTCCTGTGCTCCAGTGTCCCCATTTCTACAGGGACCCTTTGCACCCCCCTCTCCAGGTTGGGGTGAGAGTGAAGGGGAGTGTAGGTATTTTACCAAAGGAGAGATGGGTCAGACCTGTGTTTTTGAAAGAGCCCTGTCCTCCTTGGGAGAATGGATTAGAAGTGTGAAGAATGGAGATGTGGCTAATGTGAAAAGGGAAAAGGTCCCAGGAGGTCACAGGAGGCCTTCAAAGATGGAGAAAGGCAGGTAGGAGCCCAGGCAGGTGTGCCCAATGGAAGGAGAATGGGGAGTCTGAACCCTGGGAGGAGCCACAGGAGTGGCACAGGTGGAGGAAGAGGCTCTGATATAAAGGATAAAAGCAGATCTTCAGGGTCCATCGATGCAGGAACATGCAGGGATGAGATATATCTCTATGGCTGTGCTGGGGGTGAATAGGGACTTACAGCTGCCACTCATAGTGTTAAAATGTGAGAATGTACTGCAGCATGCATGGCGCAATATCGGACTACATCTAGCCAGTGCTGTTGGGAGCACTCCACGACAGGATCCAGAGGCAAGGTTTTTATAGAGATGATACCGAAGGAAGGCGAAGAATGATATGAATGATTGCAGCTTAAACAGTTGAAGTATTTGGGAAAGGCTAGTTTGCTGTTTGTTTTTGGTTGGCTTATGTAGGCCAGCGGCATTTAGAGCAACCTCAGTCGAATGGCCTCCTTGTTTATGAAGCATAACCATTGCCCCCCTTTGGTCATCCTCTCGTACATGAGAAACTGACCAACAATTTGTCATTAGACTTCTCAGTTTCCATTAGAGTGATGCTGTTCTTGTCCAGGCCCGAAACTTACAGGTTGTGATGTCAGGTCATTGGGAGGACTATCTGGCTCTCCCTCTTTGTCATCTTGTTTTTGTTTCTCCACGTGCATTGAGACCACCTGGTGCACTGCTGATGGCTGTGAGCATGTAGCTAAGAGCCCAAGAGAACACAGTACACAGGGAGACTACAGTGGCCACTATTGGGAAGATAATAGAAAGAGACAGAAGATCATTTCTTAATCATGGCCCCATGACCCAAACCAATTCGCATCAAATGAATCAAAAAAATGTACCTGAGTGGCATCAACCTGTTTTAGCCAAGTGGTTTGTTTGTTAATTCTTATATTTGAGTTTCTTCATGTTTAGAAGGTGTTGATCCAGGTACAACAGGAGGCAATGCTATGGCATAGACTCTTCCTTGTTCAGCCAACAAGTCATCTAAACCATCCATCAGCTCAAAGGAACCAAAGAGGCATTTTTTGGAATGGCATATTTTGCTACCCCTTATTCACCACCTTTAAAATTTCCCTCACAAGCTTCATTGTCCAGAAGTTGAGTTGGTAGATCACTTGATCTCTTTGAGTCCATCTCTCAGTCCTGAGAAAAGGTCAGTTGAGTTAAATAGATGTACCTTAGTTCAGTAGGCAGTGCTGTAGGGGGCTCTCAAAGTTAGAGCTACATGGTATGAGCAACCAGGTACTTGATAAGAGGCATGTCTATGGAAATGAAAGAAAAGGTAATCATTGGAGCAGACTGTATCAGAGGGCACCCAGCTGAGAAGACTTCCAGGCATTGGATTCTTCGACATTGGGCTCAAAGCATCTTTTGTAGTTTCAGTGTCTGGTGACATTGGGTGTTCTGGTGAGCGTCCTGGGCGGCCCACACAACATCAGGCCCTAGAGGTTGTCTGTGCATGAGCCTTTGTGGTGCTTTTCTCTGTTATATCGAGTCGTCCAGCTTCCGTTTGCAGGGCTTTGAGGGAAAAAGCCAGTTTTTGCTCATAGTGGTATCATGTGACAGGGGTGGGAAACAATTGGAAACATTAGTTTGGGGCAGCTGTGGGCAAACTACAGCCCGCGGGCCGGATCCAGCCCATTTGAAATGAATAAAACTAAAAAAAAAAAGACCGTACCCTTTTATGTAATGATGTTTATTTTGAATTTATATTAGTTCACACAAACACTCCATCCATGCTTTTGTTCCGGTCCTCCGGTCCAGTTTAAGAACCCATTGTGGCCCTCGAGTCAAAAAGTTTCCCCACCCCTGGTTTGGAGGGTTGTAGCCAGATATAGGAAGAAACTAGAATTTAGGATCCAATCCATCTTACAAGTAGATAACAAAAGACAATGAACAGGACTAGAAGCTGATGTCTGCTCGGGTGTGTTAGAGTTTTCTACTGAAACATAATTTTTCACTATGATTACTCAATTTCTAGCAAAAGTAATCATAATAAGAATAATTTGTTTGCAAAGTAAGTCTAGTCTCATTAAACTTGGCATTATTATTTAAGTGCAGCAAGAATAGTGATTTCAAGTACATTCTTGAATATGATACCTTTGTTAAAGTTTTGGTGATATCTATGACAATTTATTGTGTCATGAAGTCCACATTAATAAAACTTAAAATTGGTAAAAAATAATCTCAGACTAGATTTTTAAAAGCTTCTTTAGTCTAAGAAGCCAAGCCAAGCATTTCCCAATTTCATCCTGTTACAAGAAGAACTGATTCTTATTGAACTTATGCAAATACTTATATTATCATGAAAAATAAGAAAACATTTTCAGTAAGAAATTTTGAATACTAGAGGGATCAGGGAGGGAGAAATATATGACTATTTCATTTTTCTTTATAAAAGTTTGCATTAACAAAT